AAACATACCTAATGGCAGGCGCGGATTAAGGTCCGGCTGACAGGGGGGCGATGCACTGTCGGTTGCCTACATACAGGGGTTTTCTGGCGCAAATTGCATACCTTTCAGGCGGCTCTCTAGAGACGACAGGGGGGGGGGGGGCGATCGCCCCCCCGCCCCACCCCCTTTATCCGCGCCTGCCTAATGGGAAACCTGTCCGACCGCCTATCCTCAAGCGCTCTAAAACTTTTCTGCGGGGGTGTTATACTTTCAGTACTGCATGCGTATTCTCAGGAGTGAAGATTAAGGGTTCGAGTTCGTTGGAAAGCTGGGACTTCGGCGCTTCCGTAAAGCTATAGAACGTCCCTGACTTAGAATTCTTCTGTCAGTACGACTTACTATAGCCTCACTCTCGTCTGCTGTCTAAAAGACTAAGCATTACTCCAAAATCATCGCCTAAATGGCGAGATGTAAAGAAATGTCACTCTAAGAGGCGAGCTAAGAGGCGTGTCCCATGTCACTCCTGCATTTTCAATGTTAAGTGCAGTATGCGGTTTATACTCCAAATGCTCGGGAACAGTCAAGTCTGCTTCAAGCAATGTCCTCTATTCTAAAACTTCTCCTACAATTGTACCTTAAGGTGGGCTCAATTCCTGCGCGTCCGGATTACGCTGCAACGGTGACAGACAGGCAGGAAATTGCTGTGACCTAGTGCTCCTCTCCACCCCTCCCGTATTCTCCCTTCGTAGATCCGCAGCGCTGGGGCGCTGTAGGAGCGAGAGAGGAGAACCGTGTTGGTGTGATTCGCACGATGAACAAATGACGTCAGACAAACTCTGTGAGGGGCACGACACTGTGAGGAAAATAGTTGTAAGCGTTACATCTAACCAGTCAGCAATTCACACAATATTTTGCAAACAGCAAATTCCAAAAGTTTTGTGGCAAATCCACTAAAATATTTTTCAGAGTGTTTTGGGTGTGGTTTGAAAAGGTAAACCTAAAACTGACGCATAGTAATGTCACCTTTTCCGTTACACCATTCAAAAGTGTAGTTTGGGTTGCGTGCCTTTTATCCACGTCAGGTGGCCACGTTGTTTAATGTGAGATCAGGCTAAGACAAATAAGTCGTAGCCTGGGCGACAAATTGATATTTTTACTGTGATAGTGCAAAGGGCGTGGTCCGCAATTAATCAGCGGTAATTCACCCGCTGGAAGGACGAAAGGGGCAGTCAAGGTAGAGGCGGGGGGAGATAGAGAGGAAAGAGAGAATGAGAAAGACGATGCAAAGAGAGGAGCGGAGAGGAGGGAAAAGGGGAGACGGGATGGGGCAGAGACAGAGAGGGAGACAGAGATACCACATTTTAAACAAGATCGGAGGGCGATAAATTTTCTTTGAGCACACGTATCTTGCACTTCAACTTTCGCATGTGATCTATACTTACAGATAAATATTACGATGAGATAGAGCACTTCGAATAATAAAATATTTTATAATCAGAATCCAGTTACAGCGGGGCCCTGTTTCGTAAGGTAAGAATCGAGTTCCCCCTCCCTATCCTTACTGTGTTCTCCCCCCTCTCCCCGGCCGAGCCGCACCCGACGAGCCACTGTCTTATTTTCACTCGCCCTACCTCTGTTATTTCTTTTCCTCTTCTCGCCCTCCTCATCGTTCCACGATGGCAAGTAATGTTGCCGATCAGACGGGAGGCCTCCGTCGGAAGGGGGTGTAGCTCAGATGGTAGAGCGCTCGCTTAGCATGCGAGAAGTACGGGGATCGATACCCCGCACCTCCAGTTATTTTTAATAACTATTTTTGGAAAACATAAATCACTACTGTAGCCTAATGAGAAAATTTGTGGCCCCATCTAGACCGCGTCAACTTTTTGTACTGTTACAAGTAAGCAATCGTTACCAAACCATTCACTGTACAAGAACTCGTGTTGTGAAAAGATAAGAAAACTACTGGATTTTCTCTGTTAAATCGATAAACGGGTTTTTGTGTAGATTAATATTCACATTGGAAACGTAGTGTGTGAATGTCACTCAGTTCTAGGTGTGTGAATATCCATTCGTACACTCAGAGGGGTAAACGTGTGAATTTTCTAGAAAAAAAAATCACACGTTTACCCCCCTAAGTGTACGAATAGACATTCACATACTTCCGTTTTCATTGCAAAATGACTGACAATACGAAGAAATCGTAAAACAGCAAATAACGTTCGTACACTTGATTTTTAAATTTACATAACTGTCTAGTAAATAATGTTCACAAACTTTGTAAGAGAACAAAATATACTTTGTTCTTTTAGAGGCAGTTCGTTCAGCAAAATTTGTAACATCTTGTACAGTACAAAATAATTGTTTTAAGTGTAGTGGTTTTTCGCAATTATCGGTAGATTCCTTACATAACAAAAAGCAACGAAAAGAGCTCCCCAGCCCCATACACTACTTCAGAAATAGCAGTGCTTCTTCAAGCATTATACTTTACAGCGGGCGAGCATATAGTGTCTTGTTGACGTGTTCGCCGAGGCAGCATGGAGGTGGGGAGGGGAGGAGTGTAAGTAGGAAGGTGTGGTGGGGGACAGCCGCGCCGCGGCTAGTATTCTCGGCGGGTTTTCTCCTACTTCACTTGGCAACCTAGTTGTGGCGAACATCTGGCCCATTAGCTCAGTTGGTTAGAGCGTCGTGCTAATAACGCGAAGGTCGTGGGTTCGATCCCCCCATGGGCCATATTTTTTTTGATATTTATGTCATTCAATAAATGAGAAAATATTCCCCACCGCACGCACTACCCTCTACGCATCTCCACCTATCCGTCACGCTTCCCCCATAGGCCTACACAAATGACAGCTAAATATGAGAGAAAAGTAGCACGACGCTCTTCTCCATCGCAACAACGTTAAAACGGCTCTAGCGCTTGGCTCTCTATGCTAGTCTAGAGTAAAAGGTAATAACATCTTAACACTACTTTTGCGTATAAGCCTAAGTGGTATCATCTGCTAAAAATCTGGAGCCGACCGGGCTTCCTATGTGGAAGAAGGCGAGAAGTTTGCCCAGACAGAGGCCTCGAGATGCGGTCAACGTATCTAATAAGCTCGCAGAAGACAGGGACACGGAACAGTAGTACGCAGCCGCTGATTTCTCTGATAAACGTAGCGCGACAAGACATGCAATGGCGGGTGCTTGCCTCTATCAGGCACCTACGGAAGGTAAAAGTGTTGTCGCATATTTCTTTGTCCAACAAAACATAAAGATTGCCATTAGATAGCAAAGGATCCTTGGCAAAAATTAATGAACACAAAATGTGCAGTAAAATTTTATCACGATCGCCGTAAAAATTGTTGTCGTAAATTTACGATATTTTTCATAAATTTGATTGAGAATTGATATTGTAAATGTAGCTGATGTACGGTTTCGAACATTTTTATAAATTTACATAAGTACTTCGGCAATGCAGTCGTGTTTTTTTTTTCTTTTAGACAAAAGTCCATCACAAAAATATCTGAGACTCCGTTTATTGTACGGGGTGAAAATAAAAGTTACGCCCAACGTGGGGCTCGAACCCACGACCCTGGGATTAAGAGTCCCATGCTCTACCGACTGAGCTAGCCGGGCTGGTGAGCGCCCCCGAGCGCATCCCATGTCGGCCGACAAGAATTCCTCCACTTTTCTTTCGGGACTGGCTTGGTGGCAGGCCTAGCGCGTGTCCGAGCGAAACGGGTCGGGGTCGCGTGGCGTGGCGTTGTGAGCGAAGCAGATGATGCCTGGTGGGCTGCCTACCTGCCCGGCGCTATCCTCCCAGCCCACCTTGCTCCTCGCGCTCGCGCTCCGTTCCGGATCGGCCGCTGTAAAACTTTTCCTGGGCCAACGTTGTTCTGTCGCTTTTCTCCGGACTCAGGCGCGTTGACGACACTGTTTAAAGCTCACAGAGAATTGTTCTGTAAACTACAATGAACCCTGCATCACTGTAATCGACAGTGAATTTTCACCGTAAGCTACGGTGAATTTCACTAGAAGGTACAGTGAATCAGGGTGCGTCACTGTAGCTTACACTGAAATTCACCATAGCTTACGGTGAAAATTCACTGTCAGCTTTAAATGTGGAGGCAGCCGAAGTATCGAACTTGACTTGACTAACCACGAGGCCTCTTTTGGCCCAGGAAACACGTAAAACACGTACTGGCCTCCAGTACAACTTACAAAGTTTAATACGTCGCGGGGCGGCAGTTGTTGGTACGTCAGTGTTAAGACACAAGTCTCTTTATAGCGGTGACTTGCGCACACACGTTAGTAAAGTAAGGGGTGGAGGGGTATATGGTTAGGTGGCTGCATGCGCTGACATTGGGAAAGCCACTCTTACTCTAAGTCAGACGATTGCCGTTGGGCTATCATATATATATTATATATCCCAGTCTACGACATACCAACATTCATAATAAAGAGTCTAAAAATATTTCTGTTGCTATGTGTGAGACCAACGAAAGGAAATTAAAGTTGCACACAATGACAAGATGACAGGGCCCTTTTTAACAGGGGATATCACAACTCTTTGAAGGCGTATCAACTTAAAAAGTATTGCGTTTTATAGTCAAAATCAGGAGCTACTTACACGGTATACTCGGATGTAGTGAAAAGTATAGAGAGGTAGAATAGCGGTTTTCAAGACATGGTGTAGCGCCATTGCGCCATTCTGGTACTGCACCCTTCAATGGTGCTACCCCTCTGCGCCATTTGGCGCACGTTTGGCTGCCTACCCCTCAGGCGCTGGTGCTGGCGCTGTCGCTGGCACCTCGTGTCAGCGGCGCCGCGCCACGGTGCGCGTCACCACTCTAGGTGTACGTTTGGTTGCCTACCTTGCCGGCGCAACTTTCGTCGAAGGGGTAGGGGGGGGGAGGATGCTGTGGGGTGGCTGGTGCTGCTGCTGCAGCTGCGGCTGCGGCAGCGGCCGTTACAGAGAGGTCGACTCAGGTCATACACACACACACACACAGCCTCCCTCCGTGTGAGCATGAAAATGAAAATGTCAGGAGTGGGATTCGAACCCACGCCCCGCAGAGCAACGCGGGACCAGAGCTTAAATCTGGCGCCTTAGACCACTCGGCCACCCTGACTCATGCCGTCTATCGTAAACGAAGCAGAGTGTGATGTCTCCTGGCGGTGGGTGAAGCCACGACTCCGATGAGGCGAATATGCAAACGTGTGTTGGATTAACTAGGACGCGCGCAGAGTGTCGTGTCGTTGCCCACCAACGCCCTACTGCGGGTTGTATGGTCAGCATCGTAAGGCTGCGGCGTGAACCTGGAGATGGACGATGTAAGCATATTTCGATACTATGGAGAAATGCAATCGATAGGAAAGTGTGGCACGAGCGCACCGTCGGGCGATGGTGGCCCATCGGGTGGCGGTCAGTCGCGGAGTGGTGGAGCGATCGAGTAGAGGTGTGCAGTGCGAGGATCAGTGGCGTGGTAGTGTGCAGTCGTGATCGGTCGTCGGGTTGCAGTCAGTCTTAGAGTGGTGAAGTGAAGCAGTGATAGAGTGCAGTGCGTGGGCTGGTGAGTACAGGGAAGAGCAATCCAATGTCAACTTAATACCACAGAGAATAGTTAGAAACTAAGTGTGTTTTGTGTTTGACTTCCAGTTGAGACAATCTATTTTCATACCATTTTTGAAGGAAGATTGTGAATCCCTACAGTGCAGTGCGTGGGTTGGTGAGTACAGGGAAGAGCAATGCAATGCCAACTTAAAAACGTAGAGAATAGTTAGAAACTAAGTGTGTTTTGTGTTTGACTTCCAGTTGAGCCAATCGGTTTCTACACCATTTTTGAAGGAAGATTGTGAATTTCTATGTGAAAGTTACAACACCTGTTTTGGTGAGTACACTTGTGTGTCTAAATATATGTTTCGTTTTGTTACACCTGTGTGACGAATGGCATTTTGTGTGTGCAGATTACAATGAAGTGTAACTGGTGTGGCGAGCAGTGCGGCGACGCCGATGGACTCCTGGCGCACATCATTCAACGCCATGCACCGAAGCCCGATGTAAGTGTTGCCTGGTGCTCCAAGCCAAACACTCACAAACCACGCACAGACACACAGGCAGTTTTTGATTGTACCACCTGCAGTAAAACTTTTAAGCATAAACGTTCACTAAAACGCCATGAACAGGAGGTTCATTCGAACAAACTGCACACATGTGAAACATGCAAGAAATATTTCAAAAATGTAAGGAGTTTAAAGGAGCATATAAAAAAACTTAAACATACTTCAAAACCTAACCCAGTGGTCAAGCCCCAACCTGTGCCTAAAAACTATAAATGTAGACAGTGTAAAGAAAAATTCAAAACTTTATTTCTTTTGTATTCTCATAAAAGATCATGCAACTCCCCTAAATATGACAAGTATGTTTGTGATGGGTGTTGGCGGCGCTTTTCAACATCAAGTTCGCTGAGATACCATGTAAATGGTTGCAATGATAGGAAAAGGAAGGTTGAGCGTGCCCGAAAGGTGCATGACTTGTGCTCCTCCAAGTCCCACGTGGGTGGAGACTGGAGCACAGAGAGTGCAGTTGGAGGAGACGCTCGAATTCACAATCTTATCATTACGGACCTTCATGATCTACAGCTAACTCTGTTGAAAAACAAAGATAGCATTAAATGCACGGTGCAGAAGGATCTGCAGGAGTTGCGTCGAATAAAATGGTATCTGTCTGCCTTTATTCGATGTCAGAAGGCGGGTGAAGTAGAGCCTGAAAACGCCGTGCGTTATATGCGCTGCAGCCCGCTGACCACATTGCAAGATGCTGAACTAAATGAACAAATTCAGGAGGCCATTTTGGGGGTGATAAATTCATTTGATAAAGCTCAGGGGGAGGGTTCACAAATTCTGTTTGAAAAGGTTGAGAAAATTGAACTAAGGGTGGCTAAATACTCACCTTTGAAGGGTTCTTCTTACATGCCCTTACCCAAAAAATTCCAAAGCCCAACAAAGGGGCTTGTAAATATTAAAAATTTTGATAACAAATGTTTTTTGTATTGTTGCCTTGCGGGAGTTGAGCTTCCGGCAACTCATCCAGAGCGAGTGAGTTGCTATCGTCACAGGTTAAATGAATTTAACATGCAAGGCATCAGCTACCCAGTAAAAATAAAAGATATCACTAAATTTGAAAATCAAAATTTAGGGGTTAGTGTTAATGTTTTTGGATTAGAAGAAAATAAACAAGTAGTGCCAATGCGCATTACCAAAAAACTTGGAGATCATCATATAAATTTATTGCTTCTACAGGGCGGGGAGGGAGGGGAGGAAGGTGAGACTGAAGAGGAAGGAGAGGAGTGCCATTATGTACTCATTAAGAATATATCTAGATTTTTAAATCATTTAACAAAACGCAAAAGAAAGTTGCATTGGTGTGAAAACTGCCTTACACCATATGACACACACAAAAAATACTTGGAGCACAGGCAGCAGTGTATCGAGCACGGCGCGCAGGCGGTGAAGATGCCACGCCCGCAGGATGCAACCATGCGGTTCCAGCAGTGGGGGCACCAAATGCATCACGACTTCGTCATTTACGCCGACTTTGAGAGTGTCATCGTGCCGTACAACTCACCCTGCCCTGACCCATCAGTCTCATCGACAACGCGAGCAAGCCGTCACGTGCCCTGCGGGTTCTGCTATGTGATCGTGAAGGCCGATGGGAGTCTGCTTAAGGAGCCAGTCCTGGAGCATGGTGAAAAAGATCTCGTGAAAAGGTTTTTACTGCGCCTTCAAGAGGAGGTAAAAATCATTACAGAGTTAAGGGGTGAATTGTATGAGCTGGACATGAGTGAAGATCAGGAAAAAGACTTTGAAAAGTCTACAAAGTGTTATATGTGTGGGGATGCAGTGCCACGTCCCGGTGTAAATAAGGTGAGAGACCATGACTGGAGTAAACCTGTACATAATTTTAGAGGGGCTGCTTGTCAGTACCCGTGTAATCTTAATCTCAAGCGTAAAACATACATTCCTGTACTGATGCATAATCTGAAAAACTATGATGGTCATATGGTTCTATCAGAGATAGGTCAACTGAGTGACGGTAGTGACATCTCTGTTATTCCTAGGAATAAAGAAAAGTATGTAAGTTTCCAGTGGGGCCTCTTGAGATTTCTTGATAGTCTTGGCTTTTTGAATAGCAGCTTGGACCGATTAGTTGCCGATCTGACGGATGAGGATATGTGTCGGCTGAAATCTATTTTTCCTGATCCTGATACCAGAGCACTGGTTAGTCGAAAAGGTGTGTACCCTTATTCATTTTTCGACTCTTTTGCTAAATTTCAGGAAACGTCTTTACCTCCACCGGAAGCATTCAAAAATGATCTGACAGGTGCAGATGTAAAAGCAGAAGACTACGAGCATGCTCTTAATGTTTTTAAACATTTTAAGATGAGTACTTTGCAGGAATTTCATGACCTGTACCTACTTACTGATACCCTCTTATTATCAGACTGTATGGAGGCATTTCGTAAAATGGCCATGGAGCACTACAAATTAGACCCTGTACATTTCTATACCACCCCAGGAATGGCATTCTCTGCTAGCTTGTTGTTTACAAAGCAGCGCTTAGAGCTTCTGGACGATCTTGAGACCCACCTGACTTTTGAGCAAGGGTTAAGAGGCGGGGTCGCGAGTATACAGCACAGGTATGTTGAGGCTAACAACCGGTACATACCGGAAACTTTCTCAGAGTCAAAACCATCTTCCTATATTATGTATTATGATGCCAATTCTTTGTATGCAACAGCACTCTGCTCAAAACTCCCTACAGGTGGGTTTAGACATTTAACGGCAAGTGAAATTAATGATTTTGACTCTGCTAAAATCAGCTCTGATTCGGATGTAGGCTATCTGTTTGTTGTGGATGTCACTTACCCTAAACATTTGCATGATTATCATAACGATTTTCCACTAGCTCCAGAGCATATGATACCTCAGTACGAGGGCTTATCTAAATTACAAAAGAAAATGTTAAGAGACTTTCAGTTGTCTGACAAAAGTACAAAAAAACTTGTTCCCAATTTGTACGATAAGAAAAATTATGTTGTGTATGCTGACACTCTCATGTTATATTTAGAATTAGGCTTAGAACTTACAAAAATTCACCAAATAATTGAGTTTGATCAGAAAGCTTGGTTAAAGCC